TCTAGCGTGAACTTGTGAAATCCAAATCTCGGAGCAACTAAAACGGAGTAACGTGAACTTACGTGTCAGCTTGTGGAACAGACTTCGAAATTTGTTTTACAGTTGACGGTAGATTAGCGATTTTAAATAGATTTGATGGTAATTTATGCGGCACTTAAATTTATCTTTATGATTTCAAACAATACGATAAAACTAATTCAAAGTGTTTCTTTAATTTGTAACATGAAAAATTAAACCGAACGAAATTGTGTTCATTATAATTCTATTAAGACGCGAGATAAATCAGCGAGAAGCGAGAAGTGAAAGATTGGAATATAGGCATTAAACGATATCTCTCGCGATCGTAGCTGTAGATAAATGGAGCATTATACCTATCGCAGTTGGATATTGAAACGTTGAAGAAGGATAAAGGAAACGGGAAGCCAATATGCGCAGCTTCCCAGCCGTTTCTTCCACATAAAACAAATGAATATTTGTCGCCCCGTGTGCATTATGTGCTATATGAAGACGTGAAGGAACGAACGCGAATGCACGCACTGCGAGTGAAATATGTATGTTTGCATTTCCCTCATAGCGCATGCATTCGGTCGTTCCATTACGCATTCATACGGTAGTGCACGTGAACGAAAAGTACTCCGCGTGTTTCGCGTAGAAAAAGAGAAGCGGAACATTATTTTCGTTTTTCCCTCCTCTCGTTCGCGCGTTCCAGACACTTTAGATTTTGACTGATGTTGCTTAACTACAATCTGTCCGTATTTTTCTAAATATCATATAGTTATCGCGTATAGGCGGAAGAGTAAGAAAAATTAATAAAGAGAACTTTTAAATTAAAGAATCAAAATTTAATAAATTGTCACGAGTTGAATCAGTACCTCCACACTCTTTGGGTAGAAAACGGATTAAGTGAAGTGAATTAGATTAAACGATATGATAAGAATGTTTGGAAAATTGGAGAACAATTTCATATCTCAGTGTTTAGCATTACGTAAATGCTACGATGCCTTGTAGACTGGGCTAGTTTGACGTATACATACGTCGATTTATTATAGTTGTTTCACACTTTTAGCTAAAGCTGTAATCTAAATGCGGAGGTGAAAATCAATTGGGTACGGTTCACGTTAAGCGACATTTAATGAGAAAGAGAGAGAGAGAGAGAGAGAGAGAGAGAGATCTTAAAAATTCTCCGGCGCGCAGCACCACGACGTCGTCAAATGATCGACATCGAGTAATTTCGTTAATGTCGCGATGGCACAACGGATCGTTTCGCGCGTCCTTCAAGGAGGTTCGTCCTCGAGGGAATGACGCGTCGAAGCGACTCGAGTAATTAGACGTGTCGCGCGAGAAACGCGTTCGTTAGCGATCGCGATCGGGTTTCGTCGCGCTCGGAAATCTTTCCTGCTGCTTCTGTCTCTCTGTGCGCACAGCAGATCGCGACAACGAGGTAGAAATCTCATAGGAAAAAGCCATAAGAGAAGCGATCGACGACGGACGTGGAGGCGCGATTAATTATTTGCCGTTGAAATATCGACTCCGATTAACGCTTCTCCGCGCTTACGTAACTCGCGAGCGTTACGTGCGGCAAAATGTGTTACGGGAAGCCCGACATTACCGAATTATTATGCATCCGCCGTTGTAACACGGATCTGAAATAGCCTGAAGGGCAAGGGGTTGGATTCTTGTACATAGCAGGTCACTGCGGTATTGCATATTTATTCTAGGGCAAGTGATTCTTTCTCGTTAAATCGATCTGCGCGATTGCGATACTTACTGCCACGATAATAATTGCCACGATAATTCCAAGACCACAGTTTTTAAAAACATAAACATATTATTTAAAAAATCGCTTGCATGCATATAACTGTGGAAAGTCGACAGAAACTTGCGAATAAAATTATTTTGCGTGATCTCTCGATAATTAGGCTTAGAAGTTTTATTAGTTTTCCTAGAACTTCATTTCTTAAGTATCAAGCGATAAACAAAAAACGATACCGCCCGGCGATACAATTTTCGTGAGACACAGCACCCGCAGTCCTCTCGTGAGACGCATCCAGTCCTCTCGTCGTTCTCAGAGCGAGCTAAGCCGGCAAAATCGAGAGCCACCATCGGTAACGGATCTGTCTCGGTTTCGCGAGCTGCTTCCTTGCGGCGTTTTACCGTTAACGACCTAAATCGGGCGGCAAGTAGCGAGAGATGTGCGCCGTTTCGCGAGGGCACTTCTTGCGACAGTCGAGAAGTTGTGGTCGGCTCTCTTCCCTCATTTTTCGTCTTTCTACGTTTTTCCCGGTGGGGCATTTAACGCTAGGATCTCTCGATGTGCTCGTAAGGAAAATTCAGAGACGCTCCCGAAACGGTCGATCCGCTTAGTAAAGACTGCTTTATCTTCGCGGCTTTGTTCTCATAATGCTTTGTTCTTTACTCTCTCGTTTGATCGGTATAGTGGAGCAAGTTTATATTTAGGATAACACAAATAAGTATTAAGTAAACAATTTTGGAAAAATTAACTTTGCACGTTTATCAAAAGTAAAAACTTTTCTGTTTTGCGTTTCTTCTAATGTTCATAGATTACATAAAATACGTTTCTTCATGAAAATAAGACAGTTAAGATACTTTGATAACAACTTTACGATAAACTTTATTTTAGTGTATATACACCTAATTAAAAATTTATGGAAATGTACGAACAATATTAGGTATAATAAAAGAGATCCGTTTTGTGCGTATACATTTTTATGTTCTTTGTGCACTCGAAACAAGTAGAAAAAAATTTTGCTTTCCACCGGAAATTAAGCACCGATCCGCAAGTTTGCGATTCGCATAAAGCTCCGTAACGTGACGCTGTTCGCTGTTGCCATATCGGGTATCTACCGGAGCAACAATAGTTTACGTCTACGTGAACTATCATATGATCTATGTAGATTATGCATAATCCATGAACCGTGCGTGAACCGCACACACTTCTGCTTAGTTGTGGATCTAGCTTAACGCGGGAGAAGCACACTGCGGATTGATCGATGGGTACACACGTCTCGCCTGCCGATGAGTCGTATCTGCGATGAGCGTATCGTCGGTTACCCGTCCGATCGATGTTTGTCTCGGTCTCGAACCGGTATCGTTCGTCAGAAACTCGCAAACTTCTCGTCCTTTTTTTTCCTAGGCCCCGTGACGTGACGATAATCGAATTAACCCTGTAACGATGGATAGAGAGTCGTGTTAAGTGGGCTGTCCGAATGGGAATATGTTTTAAACTTAGTAAAAATAAAGAGATGAGAGAGTTTTACGACGGGAACTCCTCGCTTATAACGAAACTAACGCTCATAATCAGTCATCAAATATTCGGCAAACATGGATAATTCGCACGGTGCGACGCTTGTTTGTGGAATGTTTGTCGAGTGAACACGTCGTTCGCGACCGTCTTCAGGTTATTAAATTCGATCTCCTTTTTGTTTTTGTCGGCGAGGGAAGGTCGCGTCTTGACGCGTCGGAGGAATATACGGACATTACGGACGGAGCCTCGCATACAGGAATATACGGAGCCGCGCGCTGTTATCGGTGATAGGTGCGCCTTGCTGGTGATTAAGCGGTCGATAACGCGACAGAAGGCCGCGCGCACGCCTATAATCTCTCATTCAGTTCAAGTTCCGTTTTAAATTGCGTTCACGTCGTAATCAACGCGCAAAGGCGACTCGCGACTCGGAGAACGTCCACGACGCGACGTGCTGATAACAATAGAGAATTAATCTGAAATATCGTGAATCGTGACGCTCGATGATGGACGATTTTGCGTGCTGTTCATTCGCTGCTAAATTTCGGAAAGTACGTTTGGAAAACAACGTCTCGTCTCGTATCGCGATCGTGAAGTCGTACGCATGTACATACGAGCGCACAACGATACAATTAATCATTTGGTCGACAGCTGACTGATAATGCAATTGCTTTAGATATACGCGGAACGTAAATGCTATCGTTCAATCATTACTGATATTATTCGGTTTATAAAAGGTTCATTACAACTGTGGATCGATTTCTTTATGTTACTCTAAAAATACACTCTAATCTATATAATATTGTCGAAAGTGTCTTATTGTCCAAGATGAAATAATTATTTTTATAAGTCGCAATAATACTAGGCGTCTAGTCCCGAATAAACGCCAAAGATCCGAGCTCGTTGAGTTGAAACGAAAATTTACGTGGACACGTAGCAGGCTCGTAGGCCACGAATGGCCGTTTAAAACGCGTTGCTTAGCAGGCGGCCCATTTCGCGCAGCGGTCGATCGTCCCACGAAATCGAAACGTGACTAATCGCCGAAGGCGAGGAACGCCATGGTGGACGTACGACGCAGCTGATATTTATCGGTGCTGTGAAAACCGGCAACGTGTAATATACGAACGTTAGCCTTCGTGATCGACGACAAAGAGATCTGCCTATATCCGAATCTACAAACGTTGCAGTCGTCTCTGCGCGATTTAATATTGTA